CATGTGGAAATAAACAACGTTTAATGTTAACAACATTATGTCATCAATGGACAGGAGATATACGAATTGTTCATGCTAATCTACGACCAGAACTAAATTCATTTTTACCACATATACTTTTAATTAATATTCTTTCAAGAAAATATTAATTTTAATATCTCAAATGAAATCTCCTGTTTATATATTGTAATTTTCAATTGTACATTAAAAGACTTACAAAGTCATATTTGTGATTTGTGTGATATTATCTAAACAGTCAGTATTTGTGTTCTTTGTCTATTCATTATGATGTTATATGTATCGAGTTATTTTACTGACTTTCTTGTGTGTGTAAAATATATTATTCGATTTACTTTTATTTTGCTTTTTTGTAATATAATTATAAGAGCTTTTTTATTAACAGAAAACTTCACGAACAAGACATTTAAAAGAAATGGATTGTATACTAGGGTCTAGCAGGACCGGATTTTTTCATCGCGATCTCGACCGTGTTTCACTCGACAGAAACCCATCCCGGTCCTGGTTAAATACTTTTTCGAAATTTTCGATGTCGTTAACATTTTCTGTGAATACAATTCGTCCAGACTTAAAACCCATTAATGCATTTACTCGGGATTTTGATGCCGTTCCTGACGAGATAGAGATCGGGACAGTCCCGCCGAACCCTATTGTACACTATCAGAGAGATTATTAATAGACAGAAAAGTATTTAATAGTGACAATAATCTGAGTATTTATTGAAAGATCTATATCCAAGTCAGCATTATAACAAGATTTATAGAAATATTTCCATATTCATATGCATTGCACCGTCGAAATTTTAGTAAAACAATGCGTATAATTATTAGTCTATAAAAAATCTCGATTATCTATATAGAAGTTTGCAATTTCCTCTGTGAGATTATTACTGGAATTTATTTCCGTAATTAGAAACCTATTTTCACGGTACAATCGCTTGACCTTAATTTATTTTATAGTATTTTAGTTCAATCAAAAGATATATTCATGAATACTAGTTTTGTTCTGTAATCATTTTTTTTCAATGGAAGTAGAACAATTATGAATAAGAAATTTTGTCGAGATTTTTTGCAAATAGAATCTGTATGACGTTAGTTTGAAAGTATCCTTTAATAAACTTTAACAAACGATGACGTCAGACTTTTCCTAGTAAATCAAATTACATATGAATTATAAGATTTCTCTGTTAATATTTTATTAAGAAAATAATAGTGTTGTTAAGCGGAGGAAGATTAACATGCGATTTTTTATCGAACACGTGTATAGTATTTATTTACAGAGCTTCCTCGTGATCAATAAGTACATTCATTTTAATTTCATGTAATTAATCTTAATCGAGGAATACTTATATTATAAGTAGATAAATTTTTGTAGTATATTATAATATCAATGAGTATTAGGCATATGAAATCAAAATTAAATCATAAAGAGGATATATTAGTAAGATAAAAACCACCCTCGTTATCCTCCAACTACAATATTTTAATAGGATATAAAATTGACGTCAATGAATATTATGTTATCTTCCTAAGAACTGAAAATATCAAGTAAAAGAACGTACTTTATTTAGATAATCAGTTTTAAATTAAAATAAAAATAACAAATTATAAACAAAACAGAAATAGAATTGTTTGACAATTTATTAGAGATTATGAAAAAAAAAAGGATTATTTGATAAGAACAACAAAAGAAGCTTTAAAAAGTTGATGAAAAACATTTTAGACGATGACGTCAAAACTAAATAATTATTATTTCATCATTAATATACAATTTTATATTTTAATCTATGATTATATAAAAAGTATCATGTACCTAATATAGTTTCACTTCGATCGATTTCAATCCTATTTCATATAATAAAATATATAAATACAAATATACGTTCTCAAACAAGTAAAATGTCTTTATATGTGTCAAGTTAGTTATTGCACAACATCAAATAATATACAATATAAATCATAGTTCTTTCTCATATAGTAAATGAGGTCCGAAAGTAGTGGATTATCTTTCGTCTGAAAAATCCAACCTTCCATTACTAAACCATGACTTCATTTTTTTCTAAAACTATATATTTTATTTATAATGATCTACCCAGTATGTGATATTTATTTCGAAATGTATTTCATGATCAAACTTAAAATCAATCTGAGACAGAAAATTTCTTACAAAGATTTTAATCATTTGTTGAATATCATAATTTGAGTAGGAACAATCGATGTTCTATATGAATTAAAATGAGATTCGAAAGTGATGAGTTATCGATCGTAATACCGTAGCTTCAGTTTATTATTCGAGAGGAGAAGAAGAATATCAAAGTTTCTATATACATTAGATATATGAAACAGTCTAATATGAGTAACGTTTTAAAGATATAAAACACAGTAATATTTATATGTATATTATACCATCAGCTATTCAAAGATCCATTTTGTTAAGAATTTGAATAGTTAATTATCCGACGAAGATGAATTATGATAAATTAAATTACTGGATGATATTGTCGAAGAATAATTATTATGCCACTAAAATCAACTATCATACTATTTCAAACTTCTACTAAATGGAATCTATAATATTTACTGATGATCGTGTCATTTTTATATCTCAATACAATAAAACAGTGTAGATTTTGATTGTAAAATCGATCAAAAAATGAAGTCATGGATTAGTAATTGTATTAGTTGGGTAAACGAAAACTTCTCATTTGCAGATAAACCATTACTTTCGGACCTCCGTTTGTCTATGAATATTGAAAGTATTTAAATTGAAATAAAATTGACATTGAGCAATACTATTTTACAGTATGAAGAGAACTTGTGGAAGAAAAAAAGGCGCTGTTACATTTATATGTAATTACTCAATGTTAACTGTACTTCCATATGGATCCAACTTTTATATAATTGTTAAATCGAGATCCAACATCTTTTGAGATTTATTCCAACCGCTGAACTTCAATAACTCGGTGGATATTTACCAAAGATGTATGATCCGTTTTTGTATACATATATTCTGTGATTTTATTTAAATAAAGTACATATTTTCTGTTCACTTACGATTCACTATCAATACCATGGCTGCATCAACATCATTATCCTTGGTGACAAGTGCAAATGATAATCGTCAATGGGAAACGCAAGAACGATTCATCGAACAATAGACTTCATATGAGATAATTATGAGTGCGAACACGAAGTCTCGCCATTGAAAAGAAACATATGTGAAGACTACGATCAGTACATATTATAATTTCACTCCTCAGAAAAGATCTTCGATACGGCATATACAGTATAAATTGATATTTATTTTCTTATTGTATTTTATTAAGATGATCATAAGGCATAGAAAACGAAAAAAAAAGAGTATAGTTTTATTTAATCTGCAATATAAATAACTTGATGTTTTTCAAGTAAATCAATATCTTTTTCAAGTAATTTCATTTCATGTTCAAGACGTTCTTTATGTAGTCGTTTCGGAATTGTATCAATAATAACCGAAAGTGTTTGAAATTCATGATGAACATCTTCCCATTGTTTTTTCAAACCTAAAATTTTATAAAAAAAAAAAACAAGATTAATTTTTATAAATGAATTAAATCGTAAACAAACCATCAATAATTGTTTGTCGTTCATCATCATTCATTTCACGCATAGCTCCTCGACGAAAATAATCCGAAACATATGTTTCATATTCTTGTTTAGCTTTATCCATATCTGCTCGACGATTTTTTATATAAACTGGTACTTCACCAAAATTCTATACATGTTTAATTAATTAGTCGTTTGTAAAAAGAAAAGTAAAACAATACTTTTTTAAATACGTATTTTGGTGTTAAACCACTTGTATCAATTGGATATTTATCTCCATGTCGAGCATCAACTATATTTCTTTCAGGTTTTTTTGGTACTGTCATGACAACATCAAGAGCATTTGTTTGAACAAAATTTTTTTCTGTTCTTGCACCCATTTTTGGTGCATCACGAATATTTGGAACAGGTGCTTTACGTGGTAAACGATCTTTATATGATATTGTATCTTTTGCTAAAATAGAGAAAATCAAAAAAATTAAATAATTTCCAAAAAAATAATTCAAACTTACGAATACTAGCGGCTGCTGTTGCTGCTTTATTATCACTTGTATTTTTTTTAAGAAATTGTTGTGGATCAGGTAATGGTTCTTCAGCATAACCCATTGTTCGATGTTCATATTTACGATTCTGTGATGAATCACGAACAGTAGATTTAAATTTTGAGTCGTAACTAATGAAATGAATCAAAATATAGTTTGATAAGAAAAAGATAATAGCTTTCTACTTACCGAGCTGGTTTAGGTGCTTGATATTGAGTACGTGGAATTAAATTATATACGGATTCTTCTTGTTGATTTGCGCCATTCTTTCCGACAACCATTTTTGTTTGATTGATATTAGAAAAACAATACAAATGAGTAAAGAAATTAAAAACAAGTTCTTAACCATCACTAACACATAGGCTTATATTCGTTTCTTAGCAACAGAAATATTCAATAAAATTCAAATATATAAAATAAAATAATAAAGAAAATCTTTGATTAAACATTTTATTTATATATAAATTGTTAACTATGTACAGAGAAGAATATGAGGTCGCTAGTTTACAGTTATACTTGATCTATGAATTATATTTCTCTTTTTGATAAACAGTGATGTGAATAGCTCGATTTATTATTACATCGATCATTAGATTTATAGCCATATGTTTTAGTTATGAAATGACATCGGTAGAAATAGTTCTCCCGAATAGTGGCGTAACCAGAAATTTAAGGATGATGGGGCTCAACCCTAAAACTGTCTATCCCATGTAAAAAAAAACATGAAAAATCTGATTTTAATCAGGATCATCAATATTCTTGCATAATTGAGTGAATATCGAGCTATATCGTACCTGGAAATATGATAAGAGTATCACAGATTGCTCTACCATTGTACTTACGATTTGTCGGTGCAAGAATTCTGAAAACAAGGTCGAGACTAGAGAGAAACACGTTTTTTCTTCATTATAATTAAAATCAATTTTTTTATTAAGAAAAACGGTTGAAATATGTTATCTGCTGAGAATTCATCGATTAAAATGTATTATTTTCAATAGTTTAATCAATGAAAATCACTTTCTATTATAAAAATCGATTTCATCACAGAAATCTGTTAAAATCTATTATGTGTCACGGTTTAATCAGATTTTTGTAATTTGTTTTTACATAGGTAGTCTTTTGGATTTTTTGATTGACAAGTTCAGTAACTGAAAACTCCGGGTGATGGGGCTAAGCCCCATCTGGCCCCAGTGTGGTTACGCCACTACTCCCGAGTATCGATATATCAAATAGAAAAGAAAATGAAGTCTATGTTATTCATATTTAGTATATAAGTCATTGCATTCTGTCTATTGATATAGGATATTTGCACTAAAAACTGTGTTTCATAAGAGATTATCATAGTCTTATAGTTTTGTAATAGTAACTGTTAATGAGATTACATATGACGTTTGTGTTACATTATCAAAATTAATTTCTGTTCGTAATATAAGCAGATCAACTGACTCGTTAAGGGCAAATTGTGTTTTTCAATATCTTAATTGTTGTTGACAATTTTATTTACCATCGTCATAACTAATATTTCGAAAACTTTCAGGGCTATTAATTTATATTTATAATAACAGATAAGATATAAACGTATAAACATATATGAATTTAAACAGGAAAAATTTCGATATAATTTTTTAATATTCTGTTATTTATATATTATAATCTAACATTTTTTTTCCTTGAAAATATATATAGCTTTATATTGCATGCATATATTTATTATTACTCGGAAGTCTTATAGATCTTTTATCTCGCAACCTTAATTTATTTGACAAATCTTTGTAGTAACTTGCCTCCTACGTTTTAAACGAGATATACAAGTGTTTATATTACAAAAGTAATCGAAATTTATTTCTAAGATGATGTATTATACAAATTCTTTTTATTAAATATAATAATGAATATGATTCATTTTTTTTCTTTGGTTGTTTTTTTTAGTAATGGCTCATTTCTACCAAGTGAACTGCGAAAATATATATATTCATCATAATAATTCAATATAAACATTTCTTTTAATTATATGAATTCTACTGTACTTCCTGAAGAAAGTCTATCTTGCAAAAAAAATAAATCACTTTACCATTAACATATTGAAACATTATCACATGATGCAGTAATGCGTTCATATTGTTTTTCAACAATGTATTTACTTTAGTTAAAGACATAAATATTAATTTTGAATGAATCAACTGTGCATGCAAGTTTAGAGGAAAAATATTTTCTCATTAAAAACATTGATGACGAAGTTTAAAGTAATCTAACTGTTAAGGACAAAAGTTTTTGTTGTTTTTCTGAAAGATTTACTTCTTCTTCAAGGATATACTAAGATTATTTCTAAAGGACAACTCTTCTGTAAATATCCAATATATCTTCGTCAAACTACCTACATAGATTCCGTTACTGAATACTGATAATTAATATAAAGTTCTTATCGACTTTTACTGATTTGTTTTCATGAACGACAAAATTAACTAATACTATTTACGCATTATGCAAAGATGCATATAACCTTAAGACTATTACATTAACAAATAGATTAAGGAAATAATATTATAAAAAACAACAATGAAAAAGTTTTTCTCTAATTTTATTTTTTTTTGAAATAATAACATTCATTCTCATACTTTTAAATAAATAATTTCAATCATATTGATTTATAATTCATTATAAACTAATTCAATTGAAACTGTCATTTTCTATACTTCAACATTTTTTTTAAAATTTAATAATTCTTCATATCTTAATTTATTCAATAAGTATTATGCTTTTATATTGATGTCCTTTGACTATGTTTTTTTTTCTTATTTTCAAATAAACAATACACACAAAAACAAAAAACAATAATATGTTTACTTTTTTATTTTTTTAATCTTTCAAAATGAAATAAAATGCACACGCACACACACACACACACATATATAAAATGATAATAATGGACGGCTGGCTGTAACTGTTTAAAATCACAGTGATAAATAGACAGAAGAAGAGAAAAAGAAGCATATTGAAATTAATTTTTTTGGATGATCGAATTGCGAATAGTGGTGTGTGTCACACAAATAAAGAAAAATGCATTAAAGACGCACACATTAAAAACATTAAAAGATAATAAAGCTGGACGGAAGTTAAACAAAGCAAAGAAGAAGAAAAAAACTGTTCGACCAACAATAAAAAGAAGGAAGACCCCTACACAAACATTTATATACAATGAAAAAAAGAGAGAGAAGATCTTGTTGTTGTTGTTGTTGTTTTTTCCTATTACTTAGATAGTTTTAAATCAAAAGCTGTTTCTAGTGATGGTAATTTTGTTGTCATTATAGTGTCATTTGTAAGCCACCATGATGGTCGTTTTATTCCACGACCTTTGATTTTAAGAGATTGTTGATATTGTTGTTCTTCATTATCATCATCAAATAATGAAGTAAATGTTGAATGTTTTGTTGGATAATCAAAACCATCAAATGCACTTGTATCTCCACCGGCTGCTGCTGTCTCAGCTGAATATGTTAAATCCGTTAATGCGGCATTAAAATCATTAAATAAATCTTGTTCAGTTTTTGTTGATAAATCAATATCATTTGGTGTTTCAGATAAATAAGCGTCCCAATCAAATGTAACTGAATCTAATAAAAGCATATCTGTATCATCTAATTTAGTTGAAATAAAATTTTGTTTAGAAATTATTGATGATGGTGAACTTGATGGTGATGGAGATAAAACAGATGAAAAATCATTAATTTGTTGTTGTTGTTGATGATGATTAAATGATGGAACAGTTAAAGAATCTGGTGATGATATAGGAGAAAGAAAACTACTTGGCATTCGAACATAAGTACGATCAATATTTGTTACATGACATTGATTTTGTGTTGTATTAATACATGGAAGAATTGGATCAATCCATGTTTCAGATTTAATAATATTATTTAATTGTCTAATATGATTTGTTGATCGTTTTGATGAACGTATACGTTTATTTGGTGGCGATGAATGAATTTCTTGTTCTTGTTGATTATTTATTAAAGATTTATTTTGTAAATATTGTCGTTCATAATCAGATGATAATTTCCAATATCCACCTTTACCAGCAGTTTCTTTTTTATTACGTGGAACTTTAATAAAACATTTGTTTAATGATAAATTATGTCGAATAGAATTCTATAAAAAAATTAAATAATCATAGACTATAAATAAATAAATAAACAATTTTTCTTATGTACTTCCACAAATTAGATAATAAAAGAAAATCTTATAAGGAAATAAGACAAGGTCATGATGAAAAAAGAATATTGTTCTGATATCCTGTCGGGGCTATTATGAATCATTTCCTCATTAGCTTTTTTTTTTCTTCATTAGAATGAAAATAGTTCAAGTGTTTTTGCGTTGTTCTTTTCTTTTTTTAGTATAATAAATTACGAAGAAAAGAATAAGAAATGCTTAAAATTTTCTCATGCATTTATAAGTAGTTAATAATTCATATGTTTAATTTTAAAATACCTGCCAAGTAGGTTCCATTTTTTTAAAATAAGGAAAATTATCTGAAATCCATTCATAGATCATTTGTAATGTCATTTTTTCATAACCTGAATGTTGCATTGCTAATAGTATAAGTTGACAATAGGAATAAACCGGTTTTGCTTGGGGATTTGTTTTATACATTCTCCATTGTTCATCATTATTTATTGAGAAATCATTATTATTATTATCAATATCATTTGGATAAACAGCACCGATAGATGATGATGATGATGATGAAGATATAGAAGTATTAGATAACGATTGTTCTTTACGTTTATTACTAATTGTAGTGTTTCCTGAAGATGATGAACACGCTGATGATGTTGAAGAATTTATGGTTGGTATACTTCGTTTGAGTATATTTATATCATGTAACCATGAAAGATTTGTTAAACTATCATCATAAATATTAGGTGTTGTTGAGATACGTGATGATGTATTTGTATTATGTGTTGTTAAAACATGAATTGGTTCAATTGTTTTATTCATTGGACTATTTAGAGATGCCAACGTATAAACATTTCGTTGGATTAGCGGCCACTGTGTCATCGACAATCTAGAAAAAGTTTTTTTTATATAATAAAATATCTATACAATTAGTAGATGAATAAGAAAAACTGAAAAGAAAACATTGATTTCTCTTCTGTTAAATATGATGAAAAAAATGTTTTGTAAATATAGCTGCATAATCATACTTGCACTTGCCTGATGTTTTTCAAGAGTTAAATTGCTTTTTCAATTTTATTACACACTTTCTGTTGCTCAAGGATGAGAACGTTTTCTAGCTTACCATCATAATATATTTATTTTCTTTTTTCTTCTTCTCTTTTTTTGTCGATCTCATTTGATGAGTAACAAGCATTGCCCACTAGCTTAAATTTTTACGCATATGTGAATTTAACTACGTTCTCACTTTTTTTTTCTTCTTTTATCAAGGACAGACTAATCAAGTAATTCGATTCTCATCTTTTATATGTGATGTAAATTTTCTTTTTTTTTCTTCTTTGAAGCATAAAGTATTATTCAAAATAAAAACTTACCAACTTGTTTAAGTATATTACTTAACATGAATTTATTCTGTAACGTAATGTCATACTGCTCAAACGCGTCTTTACGTCTACATAATCAGTTCTTGAACAGAGAGACAAAATGAGAGAGAGAGAGAGAATGGAGCGGTGAGAGAAAAGTGACCTTGAGTTTTTCTATACGGACGCACACATACACACACACACACACACACACACACACACATCGAGAAGCAATTACTGCATCCGTTTTTGACGTTCTCGTCGGAAACATTGGCAAGCAATATGAGAGTAAGATGACGAGGATGAAGAGAAAAAAAGGAGAAAAAGAAAAAAAAGGTAACAACAAAAAAAACCTTACACTGCCGGAAATATCTATAAGGCATGATTGCGTGAAATCAATTATCTGAGCTGGTTCCAGGTTTAAACAAACACACACATACACACACACAACCTTTTTTTTGTCACAATGGTCAGATGAGCCATCAGTTTTACGTCTTTCTACTTTCTCTCTTCTTCTTCGTCTTTTTTACATTAATATAAGATGTAGTAAAGCGGACACAGAATGATTTTCAATGTATGTTGAAGTGAAAGAATCGAAATTCTCTCTGCCTTTTTTTTTCGATACACACAAAAGGCAAGCGAAGAAGAGAATAAAATTTCAAGTCTTTTTTTTTCTTCTTGTCAAGCATGTTTGTTCTCTCTCTCTCTCTTCTGATGAGATCGATTATGAGACGTATATAGGTATTTGTAAGATGCAACAAACGAGAGAGGTATGGTAAAAAAAAAAGAAGAACAACACATTCTTGAAAAACATAAAGCCGATATAAAAGAAATGACAAGAGAAAGAAGAAAAGACATTACCGCCTGCGGTTTTTACGTATAAAGAAAGTGGGGATGATGATGAAGATGAAGATGAAAAGTCAACGGAAGACTACTTGCTATATTAAAAGAGAATAATCTACAAATCATAAATTATCTTCTGCATATGTACACTTTTTTTTTGATTCAAATGCATACATTCACTTATTTTTAAGAGAGAGTGAAAGTTGATTTTATTTCTCATCATAGAATCAAACCTTACTTGAGACATGAAACTTCTGTGATGACTGATGAAAACCAATCATATATGTATTTACATATAAACGAATCAACTCTCTTTCGCTCTCTCGCTCTCTGTCTGTCTCGCTTTGTATTAATATTGAACCTGTTTGATAATGAACAATTCGAGAAAGAATATTATATATTCTTTTAAACAAGTAATTGAGAAATGAGAAAAAAAATGAAATCTTAGGATGACAGCAATTGTAACTTCCATTCGTAATTTTACATCAATTTTTTTCTTCTCTCTTTCTTATTTGATTGCATACAAACGTACTGAGAAATTCAGCTAGCTGTTCAAATATTCAAGATCAACTTTCACTCGTTCGTCTATAAAACAATTCATGAACAACGACGACGACGACGACTTGTGTGTTTACATTAAAAAGAATAATAAGAGCACCATCTCATTTGTCTACTCGACATTTCTATGATTTCGTTCTATTACCATGAAAAAATTCTACCATGATCAATCACAAAATTTCTTCATTCAATGAAATAAAGATACGAGACATCGATGATTAATTTGAAAAAAATGAATATTTAGTTAATTTTTTGTAGATGGAAAGATTCTAATATAACTTGGCGCTCGGAATAAAAATATCAAAGCGCTATAAGAAATAATATTTATTCTATTGTTCCATTTTTATTATTTGCTAATTTAAATGAAAAAATATCATTCTCATCGTCATAGTATTGATAATGCAAGTTCATCGGATTCTTCTCAAAATTCACATTCAATAAATAAAGATCAATCTGAATGTCATCAACGAAATAATCATAATAGTAGTTTAATTCGACATAATGAATTAGTTCGATCAGCAAGTAAACTAGCTCCTCGAAAACGACCGAAAAAAAAATCTACTAATTATTATCCAACAGAAAATGTATTAACATCCGCTCATATTATGATAATACGTATTATATTATTATTAATTATATTTTTAATATTTTATTATACATTTATTTTTATGTATTCAAAACCTAAACAAACTCGATTAGGACGATTTTGGTCTATGATAATTAATTGGCTTATGGGAGAATAAATATCCATCTATTAATTTTTATGTATAAAAAATAACATAGTTAATGATATGTTATTTTAGCTTAAACTAATAATTTGTATTTATTTTTAGCTAGTTTTTTATTTTTAACACATACTAATGTTTAAAACAAATATTATGCTATTGAAATTTGATTTTAATAAAAAAAGAATAGATAAAAAGTATTTTGATTGATATCGACCAGATAAATTTCTACTATACTGTAAACCAGAAAATAAGTTATAGAGTTTTTTGCAAGAAATAAATCTGAATTTACAAATTCGCGAAAATCAATTAATGAATTATAAAATCGTTGAACGTATCCAAGATATTTCGTGAATTTCAAAAAAATTTACATCATATTTCTCTTTTATTATAATTATTCACTATGTAAACAAGTAGGATATATTAATACTACGCCTTTTTTTTAAGAAGATTACTCAAATTATTTAATTTCATCCCGCCTGAATAATCATATGATTGTCAATTTAAATATAATTAGTTATGCAGATTGATGACAGCTGAAATATTTAGTTGTTCTTTGTAGTTTTTAAATTAGATAATTTTCCATCATTCCGAATATCTACCTAGCATGTCAAATCGATCATCGGAAATGCATAGAAGAATTACAGTTTAATCTAGACAATCGTAGTTCGTTATAATACACCTTTCGATGTAGTTCTCTTGAAACAGACAGGGGATTGTATCCATCCCATGTCGTAGTCTAAATATACCTGTATTAGATATTTATTATTACATTTAACTTCTCTGAATCATCTGTAGTTTGCATATTTTATTTAATCAGGATGTTAATGATGCAAGTTGTATCTTTGATCCATTATGGAACTAAAGAGACTTCTCCAACAGACAAAACTCAAAAAAAAACGGAAAAATACGTGTAGAAATTTTTATATTTTAACGAAAATTAAATCCGGAAAAGCGCATATTTTTACGATTTTTGTTTCCATTAACTTGGTCTACCGTGATTAACGCGTTAAAACTCACAAAATAACGTGTAAAACCACGTTAAATTCCGCGTTTCAGCGAGTAATTACGAAGTACATTTTAACGCAGTAGAACGCTTGCTGAATAATTGCGTAGAAACGAGTTAAGAATTCGTAAAAACGGTGTTTTTACAATGGTCTACCGTCAAAACGCTGTTTTATGCGTTCTTTTAAAGACCATGTCTGCCTAGGTTGTGAAAGTTTTACTTTTTAAAATATTTATCTTATGAGATGGGGACATTTCTGAATTTCTATTTTTAAATAGAGAGATTCTCATTAGGATATATATAATTCATTAATTGTATAGATTTCTTTTCATTTTACTAGGTGTCCTGGAATGAAATGTCATATTAGTTATTCGATAGGATAAATAACTATTTCTTAGTATTGCGCAAGGCCAGTGAATGAAGGATATGTAACAAGTTTATTAATTCTATTGTGAATAGATTATAATATTTATGAGTTGTTAAATTTATTTTTAGCTGCAACGAGTGTGTGATAGCAAAGAAAGGACATGACAAAAAAATTCTTTATGATTTTTATACTTCACAGTTTGATCAACAAAATTATCTGACATGACATCTCAATTTAATAATCATATTTTACTAAAATGTGATATAGAAAAAAATTAGATTTGTTTTTATATAATTATATAATCTTTATTGAATAAAATAAATCATTTTAACAATATCTAAGTCAATCTTCAAATATTTACTTTTTATTTTTATTGTATTCGTGTTAATCAATATTTACAAATATCTTTTTCTTCGTTCATACAACAATATATTTAAATGAATAGAATGAGCGCGTCATTGATATAATTAAATAATGAATGAAATAAGTATTGCTGTATTAACTATTATTCTTGGTGAAATCTTTCTTTTTAGTCTTATGATAACAGGTACTCTAATTATATATTATCGTTTTGCACAACCCAATGAACCAACAATTGATATTGATTCAATCGAAATGAATGATCAAAATGAAAGTTACATTTCAATAAAATATCATGTTTAAGAAAATTTTCTTTTTTAAAAGATGCACAAAGTGAGAAAAAAAAA